TCAACGGTAATTTTTAGAGACTTGAAACTTGCACTTTCTTATACTAAAAATTAATGGGCTACAAAACTGCATACCCATATTTTTCTAAGAAAGTTGAAAATTTTGATGAACATCTTTTGGTATTTCTTGAATTTTCCCCGAGTTCTATATGAAATTGAAACAAAAAAAAATATTTTGCTGGGTTTTGCTATTGAACGAACTATATTTTTATAAAAAAAAGATATAAGAGAAATTTGGTATGGAATATATAAATAAAGAAACGTCAGGGTATTCATATTTTTGACGCTGACTGTATCTGGAATCGTCTTTTGAATAATGTATTTGTGGTTCAGGGCAATTCCATAGATTTCTCTGTGTATTAAATTGAATATAACTATTTGTCCTGTTGGTTAACAAATGCTCCACGAAATGCAAACTATGCAAAATATACCCATTTGAAAATTGTGATTTCATTAGTCGGACAATTCCAGGGAATTGAAGAATTCTATGGGCTAAACGTATGTAACCATTTGACTACTTGATCCTGGTTGATGATTCCGTCATCCGATTTAAAGGAAAGCAACTGTTCTGGAATGAAATATTTTGAACTTGGTCTTTCCACAGCAGTGTGGGCCTCCCTTTTCCTCTGCTACCACCAGCGAGTTCCGAGTTGAATACTTTCAAATCTGCACCGTCGGCGTCCATTCGAACGGCATTACCAAGCCAGCGGAGCCGCTGTATTTTAATTCGCTGCACTATGTCATTGTAAAGCTCATACAGGTCATCATTTCATCGTCTGCGGTACTCGCCGTCGCCAACGCGTAAAGGCCCGTAAATCTTTCCCAAAATCTTTCGCTCGAATACTCCAAGAGCCGCCTCATCGGATGTTGTCATTGTCCATGCTTCTGCGTTCAGTGATTTTCTGCATCAGCTGAATAAATAACAAAGACATAAAAGATATACAAATACAAAAGCGATAAAACGATTCCCAAAATTTTCTCATTCTGCTTGTTCCTGATAATTATCTGCTAGAAAAGTGAAGAAGCAAAGCTATTTTTTCACTGACAGCTGATTTTGTGAACGGCGACAGCGGCAAAATTAAATATAAATCTATTCTCACCGAATTTCTTCAGACGAACTACGTCGCCGCTTTGGTTGTGTGCAGCCTCATGTACTGCAGTGTGTTTTAATTTCACCAGCGAACTTTCTTCCGACGAAGTTCGCTCAGAGATTTGATTTTGTTTATACTTTAAACTTAATTATAATTGCATTAAAAAATTTGTTTCTAAAATTGTGTTTTATTCGGTTGACTTGAAATTTTCCAAGTACAGTGGTGGCCACATAATTAGGGACACTACTTCTTTACAAGTTTTTTTTGAATTTGTTTATAATTAATTTACGTTACATATAGTTTATGCCACAACGAAAACCATGTAAGTCAAAGTTCAAATCAGAATCTCTAGAAAATATTAATGTTGCAGTTTTATACCCCATTTCAGTATAATACTGTGTAAGTTTCAAGCGACTAAGATATCGCATCGATTTTTAAGAATTTTTTCCATGAAAAGTACGATCAAATATGTCTTATATGAGACAACTAAAATTTAATGGACTACAAAACTGCGAAGCCGATTTTTTCTGGAAATCCTGATTAAAAATTTGAAATTTTGAAGCAATTTTTTTTTAATTCGGCGAATTTTTATAAATCTTCTACAGGAGTTAATGCTTTGAGTTACAAGGTTTTTGTAAAAAAGGAAAAAATAAATGGTCAAAACTTGTAAATAGGTAGTTTCCCTAATTATGCGGCCACTACTGTATGTATGTACATATGAGGTCTTGAGAGCCAGAGTGGCCTAAGTGACATTTCAAAAAAGTTGAGGTTACAATGCATTACTACAATCGAAACGGTGAGGGCCCGAGGCACGCACCACGTAGGTGCAAAGAACTTTTCATCTTATCTTTTATGGATCCTTCTTTCTCATGTTACTTACAAATTTGTTTTTGTATATGTATAGGCTCCTCTGGCCCTCATGTCCTCATATTTACATATCGCCACCTGAGTGGAAGATCGACCTACATATGTATCTCGGCAGCCAGTTCGAAAACTCCCTATCTCAGAAAACTTTTCAAGAACGCCCTACTTCAGAATTAGGTTCGAGAACGCCCTATCTAAGAATTCGATTCCAAAGCGTCCTATCTCACGTGAAAATATATTGAAAATGTGCTGAGGTAGGGCGTTTTTCAATCGGCAGCTGCTTCTTAAAGATTTGGCAAAAAGCATTTTAAAAATTCCGAGGTTACTTCTTCTTTCCAGAACGATGGCTAACGCGACACCAGCTGAGCGAATGCGAAAATTCAGACAAGAATTAAAGAGCAGACCCGAAGAATTCAAAAAGTACCTGCAGAAAGAACGAGAGCGTGACAAGAGGAGACGTGAATTGCGAAAAGAAAAAAAAATACGTTGTTACCAATTATCAAATGAAATGCGATGCAAGGAAGCTCAGAGAAAAAGGAACTATAGAGCAAGAATAAAACATCTTGCACAAGCAATGGATGATGAACTTTCGCCACCGTCGCCATCCTTAGGGTCATACAATTGTGCGCAGACGCTAGGCAAAGCAGTATGTAGAGTAAAATGAATCCTACCAACTAGTCCAAGCAAGAAACAAGAAATTGGCCGCTATAGCCAAACTTGTTTTGTTAAATTTAGAGAATGGATGTTCATTTAGTCTCTCCGTCCAACAAGAAAAGTGTTATGAAACATGACTTATCTGAAAGGGATAAAGAAAATGTAGTTAGTTTTTATTTGCGTGCTGATATCAGTCTCCAGTCACCGGGTGTTAAGAACCAGGGTTCCCTAGTGCATGTAAGCAATGTATGCTTGGGTACCATTGTAGGAGCTATGGAAAAATTGCGTCAGCAAGTTCATCGATTTAAGATCCATTTATACGTTAAGCGAGTTCAATCTAATGGCTTTTTAGAAGCGAAACGTAGTATACCAGCTGATGTAGCAATTTTACAAATTGATTTTGCTGAGAACTGCACCATACTCTCGCAAGATGAAATCTACTGCTGAGTGGAAGATCGACCTATCTCGGCAGCTAGTTCGAAAACGCCCTATCTCGAAAAACTTTTCAAAGGCGTCCTATTTCAGAAGTTGGTTGAAGAACGCCCTATTTCAGAATTCGTTTCAAACAAGCCCTATCTCAGCTACCGATTTAAAAACGCCCTATATCAGCACATTTTCAATACATTTTGAAGTGAGATTTTGAATTGAATTCTGAACGAGGGCGTTCTTCAACCAAATTCTGAGATAGAGTGTTTTTCAATAAAATTCTGAAATAGGGCGTTCTTAAATCATATTCTGAAGTAGTGTGATCTTGAAAAGTTCTAGTTATAACAATTTCGCGCTTACACTTTTGATAAGTGCTTGGCCGAGCTTCTCGTCCAATTTTTGTTGCGTGTCCTGATGTTGTTAAACAAATGAACAAATGGAAGGACCTACAGTTTTACGCCACCTCTGAACGGCAAATGAATTTTTATGAGAAGCTTTTCATAGCAGAAATACACTCGAAGGTTTGCCATTGCCTGTCGAGGTGCAACCGCTGTTAGAAAAAAGTTTATAATTTAGATATTGCTCGGTCTAGGGATCGAACTCAGGTCCTACATAGAGAATAGTACGCACATCTAACCATTCAGCTGCAGCGGTCGGCTAAGCCTAATATTAAGAGCAATACAAATTTTTGAAAGTAATCGAAGGAAGTTTCACCTCCGTAGTGTGGCCCAGGCGTACTTTTTTTTTAAATCTGTGAAGAAGTAACTATTAAGTTTCAAACATCATAACCAATATAGCCGAGCTAGTTCAGGCTTTCAAAATTACCTATCGAAACCCGGGCCCCTCTTACTGAAAGAACGTCAACTCAATAAATGTTTGTTAGTTTTCCGCAAGTGAAACAGTGATTGATTACTTGTTATAATTGCTTAGAGTGGATATAATTAAAATTGCGAGGCAGATAACTTTCTTATGGGAGGAAATATCGATAGATATCGCTTTGATTTTATTACACAACATAAATGAAGGGCTCACGGCCATTTCTGCATAATTTACATGCATAACATAGCCACACACAAAAAAAAGTGTCGGAGTTCGGTGATCAGACTACTCTCTCCTTATGAGTTCTGATGCGCTGAACCGAATCTGAAGTCCGTTTTGCTTAGGATTTCTTCCTAACCTCAAAAACGTGCTTATCCCATAATGTCCGCCATGATATTTGAATTTAGGAGAAACTTCTGACGAGCTGAAGTAAAACGAACTTTAAATTCGTGTTCAGCGCATCAAAATATTCTGATCCCTGAATCCCGACATTTTTTTTTGTGACTAATTGTTTTCTTCACGAAAATAATACTCAATACTATACTACATATGTATATAGCGCACACCGTCTTCAAAAGAAGCACAACTCAAAATTTGGCATTTTTGAAATTATGCGCTAAAAATGTACACAGAGCTTTTCTTTACCTTTCAGCAAAAGCTGGAACAAGTTTTTGTAAAAAAAAAACTAATTATCATGTGCTAAGAAATAGTTAAACGTGTAATTTTGAGCTGTGGCCCCCTTTGAACACTGTGTGCGATATGTATATATATATATATAGATATAATCTAATATTTTTTACATTTAAAAGTGTGTCGTGTGAATTCATGAAAATTACCTTAAATTTGCACAATCTTTTCTTTTTTTTTAATTTATTTTATTAAAATTTCCTAATTTTCTTAGCTTTTTTTCTTTTATTATTTTTTTTTTTAGATGAATGCATCATCAGCTCTAAGGAAACATATGCTGAGAGAAAGAGAAGTTAAAAGATATGATGAATCTTTCCTAGCTGAAAAACAAAATACTGCTATCCAAGTCGCTAAATTTTGTGAAGGAGCACGCAAATCACTTTCCTCAAATCAATCACAACCTAGTCACAAAAAAAAATACGTAGTAAGACTTTTGTCAATTATAATAAATATGTTTATGAACTTATTGATGCATATATGAACTTTTGTAAATCTAAGGATAGTGCTTTCTCTAAAGTTTTGAAAAACTCACCTCATCTCTCAGTTTTCCGTAGGCGATAACTAATTGACTTTGGTATGGAGTCGATCACGTCTACAACGATGTTTAACCTGCAGTTAGTGTTAAACATACATTGAGAAACGGACCCTTACTGGATACATTTTTACGAGTAACTATTTGCCATTAAGAAAAACAGCTGACGACATGATGCCGAATGCAATTCAAACTCATAAATGAATTGTTTGGGGCGCTTTTATAGTTAAAGTTTACAGAATAAACCTAATTAAATAAATATTAAGTTAGAAAATGCTATTTTTATTAGGAACTTGCTTCGGAAAATAATTAATTATTCAGATGTTCTTAAAATCGCAATTTGTTACTGATTTTGCGTTTTCGTACTTCCTTTCAAGTTTTTCTCATTGGGAGAAAATTTTGTCTTATTATTACCCCTGTTGACTATTCTAATGCGTTATTTTTATTCGGAGGTGATAATAATTGTAAGGAAAATAATCAGCATTTAACCTTATTGTAATATTTCATATATTTTATCGATTTAATTGAATAACATTTTTGAAACAGATGGCCACCCTACTCAAAAATATTTTTGGCAGTAAACTTTTTTAAACATTTTCAATTTGATTCCCATATTGCAATATTCAATTTATCTTGTCAATTAAATTAAATTAAAATTGTCAAACAGGTGGTTTTTCGGTTGTAGGCCTTCTTAAATCTCTTTCTTTCGACAGCCGTATTGCAATATTTTCTTAATCTTATTAATTTACTTAAACTGGAATTTCACACAGGTGGCAACTCTCTAATTTTTTATTTCTATATTTTAAGTTAGACCTCTGGCAATACATCGGAGAAAACTGCATTTAATTACATAGATTAGTTTTCGAGTGATGCGCGTACAAACATACAGACAGACACAAAAATTCTAAAAACTTTTGATTTGGCTTCTGTTGCCAAAGATATAATGAATTATATATGATAAGAAAGGTAATTTTTTACCGAAGAAAATTACTCAAGTTTCAAATTAGTTCAAAATAAAACCCATAAATCAATTCAAAAGGCGCACCAATACAAATGCCATACACATTTACATTAGAGTGGTCCGAAAAAAAATGTATCCGAGGGTTTGGGGCTCCTCACAAAATTTTTCCTCTTGCCGAAAGAGGTGCTGCTACCAAACTGTACGTTTCTATGTATAAAATTAGAGGATGCTCATATTTTACTCTAAAAGTAGAGAGCACATTAGGGTGGTTCAAAATAAGTAAAGTCGGAAGTTTAATGCTCCCACCCTCTAGGATTGTTCTATATCGAAAAAAAACATAACCCTATTTTTTATTTTGAAATCAGAAAATATTTAGAGGTCGCTCAAGGCGCTCAAAGTTTTCCATGTATTTTATATGGGTAGAAAAACAATTTTTCGTAGAAATTGTATGGAACTCTTGAAAATCAATATTTGTCGATTGGAAAACTCTGGTTCTCTTCGGGAGACTTTCAATATTAAGATCAATTTGTTTATTTAACCATTTTTTAGTTACTAAAGATTTTTTATTTCTCCCCCATTGCATTTTCTGATTTTTTTAAGAATTTTGGCGTACCTATAAAACATAGTTACTATGAAAAAATGGTAAAAAAAAAGTAATTGGGTATTATTATTGTGGAATATCCTGAAGAGAAGCAGGGTTTTCCGTTCGAAAAATATTGTCTTTCAAGAATACTATACCATTTGTATGAAAAGTTGTTTTTTCCCCATATCATAATCATTTACGAAATGTAAAGAAATGTATTTTCTTGTACTTTTGCTTTCTTCTAGCCCACACGCTATGAGCGCGAACGCGCCGCAATGAAGAACAAACCTCGAAAGGTACTCAACTTGGAAGAACGCGTACTAGCCATACGCTTATATCAGGAGAATCCCGTCTATCAGCGTGTCGCTTCCGTATTCAAATGCAGTTGGGAGCAAATTCGCAACGTAATTGCCAATCGGGATGATATTTTGCGTTACTATGGTGAATGCCAAACCGTCAACGCCACGGATTCGCCACAATATGTGCGAAATAAGAAAATCAATTTTCTCGGCAATGTCACATACGAATTTATAAAACGTGCTTACTATCATCGCATTGCAATGCTAAATGATGAGGTTATACGCCAACGTGCGCTTAAAATACGTGATATTCTCAAAATTGAGCAATTCCATCCGAATAAGGCTTGGATAGCCGATTTTAAGAAGGTCTACAATATAGATTGGCAAAATTTGGATGCATTGATTATTTATGGTGCACCGCCGCGTTCGCTTGATAACCATGATTTAATTCAATATTGTACACGCATGGTGACGAAGGCAGTCTCTTTAATTGACAAGATGCCAAAGCCGGTGTCGAAGAAAGATATTAGAAATGGCGAGCTGGAGGACGACGAAGACAACGAAGACAACGAGGCGAGTAGTGCTGGTGGTGGTAGCTATGAAGATAATGAATCAGATTCTTTGTTGTTGGATAAATTTGAAGATGTGCCGGTGGTGAACGAAGTTGATGATTTTGCTGGCATGTATTTGGACACAGCCGATATAGATGAGGATGAGATCAATGAGGACGAAGAGGGACCCACCATCAATTACGCCGATTACGATGGCACTGATGAAATGCCCGATTTTCAAGTGAAGGGGAATGCATCAGCATCAGCATCAGCTACAACAACAACAACAACAACAAATATGCCAAATAATGCCTCATTGCTAGCAGAAGTACAAATCAAACAAGAACGACGTAGTCGAAGTCGCAGCAAAAGTCCACAATTGTTATCGCCGCTGACCGTTGCGAGTGGCACGAGTACGAATGGCACTGGTGGAGGTGATAGTAAGGGTGTGAAACGAAAGAGAACAGACACAACAGAACCAGCTGCACGCTCTGCCGCGGCTACTGACTTCGTCCAAAGCGTAAAAAGAGAGCCAGTGACTACGTATATGGAGGCAATGCACGTCTTACAGCCATTAGAAGAGTTTGCGGTGCAGAAGGAAGATTTCCATGCACTAAATTTACTTATGCAGCTGACGCGTGTTTTCGAGAAGGGCGCCACGCGAAAATTTGAACGGAGAGATAATATTTAAGAGCAGATACTATAGTCATACATACATACATACATACATATGTATGTATTTGATAACGAAAAGAACTGTAATATTTACTAATAGTTGTATGTAAATATGTAGTTTTATAGTTTCATTAAGTATTTGTATTTATTAATGTGTGCTGAAATGGTTTGGATTATGACTTAATGAACAAATAAGTATAGCAGCTACAAATTTAAAACCCATCTGAATTTTCATGTTAAATTAATGATTAACGCTAAGGGCATCAGAATAAAGTATATAAATTTCATATGTGTATGTAAAATATATAGTTTTTTTTTTTTTTTTAATATAAATATGGATATATCCATGTACATACATACTTATGTATGTAATAATGCATGCGCGTATTTAAAGAGTGGGTTCTCTCGTTGTAAACCAGCTATCGATCTTCAGTCACTGTTCTGTGACTTAAGCCCCTACGAGATGGAAGTAATGCAAATTACTCAAAATCTTTGTTGTCTTATCAGCATCATTATTTGAAGCTCATAGGTACAATAGGTATGTAAAGTTGTTGTATGCGGTATTGTAGACTTAATTGTAGCAATTCGTATCATCACCATGTTTTGTATACAAATGTACATACATACATATGTATTTATATATGTATTTGCATGTCAGCGGGTACTATGCATTAACTCGCCTAGTCAGGTCATAAGTAGCTTGATGTTGTGCTCGCTTGCATGCTTGTTCTAAATATAATTGTCAGCTCTTTTTTTATGGCAATGCAATTTATACGGTGTCGCCACTTCGTAGTCGTGAGTCCAATCGAACAATGAAGAGAATACTTTGCTCTGAAAGTCATTCCGTTTAGCGGAGAGTAGTGAGTAAATACGTACATACATACATATGTATGAATGTATGCATAAGTAAAGTAAAGTCATATATCGGACGCTTTAACTCAGTGGGCAGACATGCGCATTGGAGGTCAGACCCCGCAAATACACACATAGAGTTATACACGTAGCTAGCGCAACTGGCAGCGTGTTCATAGACCCATCTATAGCGCCGTAGCCACTTATTTTGTGATTTTCCGACACAAACAATCAATGAGGCGTGACTGCATGCATACATATGCATATGTACATACATACATATGTTCATTAGACCTACCGGAAAAAAATTTTTCCGTACAATCCCGAGTCTTAAAATATTGTTGCACGACAAGGGGTCGCGTTGTGACATTCGTTTTTTTCGTCATATCTTTCTCATAAAAAAAAAATTGTATTGGGGACTGTATGTAGATGTCAGCAAAAACTGTAAATGGCGACCCCTAGGTTCGGCTAATTAATTATTTTTTTCATTGCTTGTAAGGTGGCACGGTCTAATGTACATACTATATGTTCTAAAGTACTAGATATTGGGAAGGCCTTTTAAGTACTTTTAGCATTAAACGATGGTTTTACATAAGTCCGAGGCAATTATTCCGTTTGATTCCTTGTATGACAGCAGTTGTTTATCAAGAATGAAATATGCGGATAAATTGATTTTTTCATCGCTCATTGGCTACTAGTGCGATGTGATCTCTTACATACTGTCTAAAGTTGGCCATTTATGACCTATCGTCGCGTTCTTTCGAAAAGGCTTGTACCAATCTCCAGGCTGAGCAATCTCATTCAGATATGTGCGACATTCCGTAAGGGACTTTGTATTTTCTATATGAGGCTATCGAGCTTTAATGCTTGCCTTACTGAAACCGACACCTGTTGACTGACCTTCGATTCAACCTGCGTATGAGCAGTTAGCGATGAGTCCAACCAGAGATTTCTTCATTGAGGTTGTTGTTGTTGTTGTTGTTGTAGCGGCTACAACAACCCCGCCCAGATCGGTTAATATCTCATTTGTTGTCATCAAGCTCCACTAACGGAAGCCCCAGGAAGCATGCGGCCTCAATGGGGTCGGTCCACAGGGACAGCGACGTTAATGTTGTCGGGTTTACCGGGCAGACGAAGAGTTGTTTCGAGTGTTGGGGTGTCTCTCCGCATGCCGGACACTCATTTGGCACATCTGCATCTAATCTTAAGTTTAACCTGCTGCAGTAGCCAGAGCGAAGTTGGGCTATTGTGGTTCTAGTCTTCCGAGGCAGATAAAGCTCCGTCTCGTCGATGTCCGGTGGTTGTGTGCCTAGACTCGGGTTTTACCCGAGGGCTGTTGCTTCGGCGATCTAACCACGTTTAGGTCGGCGAAGTATCTCAGCGACACTGTTGTTGTAGCTGCTTAGTTAGCCCTGCCTAGATCGGCTTGTCTTCTAGTCGTTGTCGTCAAGCTAAACTTACGGGAGGCCCAGGAAGTGTGCCACTATAGGCGAGAGCGGCGTTCATTGAGTGGAATTTCGAGTTCGTCAGGCATGCGAAGAGGTGTGTCGAGTAATGGGATCACTCTCCGCATGCCGGACATATGTTGGGCACATCTGAGTTTATCCTGCTCATGTAGATTTGTAGGACACTACTAAGTCCTTCCTAAGTCGGCTAGCCTAGCAATCGTTGTCGCCAAGCTCAACTAACGGGTCGAACGAAAGGGAGAGGAATGTTAGCTTAGTGGCCGGTTGAAGAGGTTGTTGGTATCATGGGAGGAGCCTTCACAAGCCAGCCATAAGTTAAGTATGTAGGAGTCAAGTCTGGTCAGTCGACTGCAGTATCCAGATTTTAATTGTACCAGATTTACGGGGGTCACTCGCGACAGCTGAAGCTGTTCGTCCGTTATGGGTTATACGTATTGGAATTGTGGGCGGTTTTTGCCGACTAAGGGCTGAACCCTATCTGAGGCAGTTAATAAAGATGGGTTTCTAACCAGGATTGAATATGTTCCAAAGTATATTATAATTGGGCGGTCTGCTGCATGAGAACTGTCCAAAAACCACAAAAGAGCTTTATCGAATTTTTTCTCTACTTTGTGAAGATGCGTCATTATGACCAGGGCCGTCGACAGAAAATCTGGACTCGGGGGGCGAGGGGGGGGGGGG